GGGCTCAGAGGAACCCAGCAACCATATGGTCAAGGAGAGATTTTTTGGCAACTCCAACATAGCATAAAAGAATATGTTTCAAATACTCATTAATTAGTGGTAGAACCAGTCAAATGTTACAACCGGCTCAAAGGAGAACTCAAACTACTGCACTGTTCCAGTTACATAAGAAATGTTGACAGGATTTTACAAACACAGGCAAAACCGGAAAAGCTGGTCACTACCCACAGGCCGGTAAGCAGTTTGCACTCCCTGAGAGCCATCTGTATTTTAGTGGACAGAATTATTTACATTACTATCAGTTTCCTGTAAGTCAAATTCTGTCTCTACAGACTTGTAACACAGCCCAATTGAAAACTAGCAAAGGTGGACATGTCTAAAAAATCAAATAATCCCCAACTGTTCCAGCAGTCCATTGAAATGATATCCAGTCATCCATCTCTTGATTTCAAAATCTTCCAGTCGTTTCCTATACCAAGGTCACACAGCAGCAAAAGTGAGTCCTGAAAATCAAAAACGTGAAAAGCAGTAGTAACCAGGCATACATTTATACAGAATTAGGATGGTCAAGTTGAGCGGTTAGACTCTCAAACTTAGAAAAATGATTGCCTGGTCTCCCCCAGATTCCAGTTTTGCCACATAAGGCTTTGTTAACCTTGGGCAATTTTACTTAACCTCCCTGTGCCTCAATTTCCTCATCTATAAGATGGGCATAACAATAAGTACCTACTGCATAAATGAGTTAATAATTGGTGAAGGCTCGGTAAAACGATAGCTATTATTGTGATGCCTCTTTGGAGCCTGTGACCAGGAAAGCGTGCCTATCTTTACTCTATAAGGTAACACCTGGCCAGCCCCAGAATTCTGTCGTAATGATCACAAATTCTAATATAATGTACATTCGTTCTTTCTCCCAAGGTTCCCATCGCTCCTAGCAGACTAATGAGTTCCTCTTTGCCAAGTGAAAGATTCAAGTGTAGAAAACATTTATCAACACCGCTTCCTTTTACTGAAGAACTGACACTACCGTCAAGTATGAGATTCTCTTTGTTAATTAGGAATGTTTAGCAGAAGTCAAGGTAGTTAAAATCTTCTGTTACAATTATATTTTGGCTCTGTGCCAGGGTGATCTCTGTACCAAAAGCACCATCCACCTTCCTGCTACTGGACCAGTTAGAGAAATTCCAACACCATCACTTGGATTTTCTTTATTATTTTGTCTTCACCCAAACATTCTAACCACAAGTTACAGAGATTACAATAGTGGTCAGCAGGGGTTGGGCATGGGGGAAGCAGGAAGAGGCTGGTAAAAGGTACCAACTTTCCGTTACAAGATGAATAAGGTCTGAGGGTCTGATGTGTAACATGGCGAGTAGACTTGATAATACTATACAATCAATACTGTACTGTATAATACTGTGTAATCAAAACTTGCTAAGACAGCCCTGGCTGGTTTGGCTCAGCGGTTACAGCATCGGCCTGCGGTCCAGAGAGACCCGGGTTCAGTTCCCGCTAAGGGCATGTACCTCGGTTGCAATTTGTCCCTGGCCCTGGTTGGTCTGTGGGTGGCAGCCACTCAGTGTGTCCTTTCACATCGATGTTTCTCTCTCTCTCTCTCTCTCTTCCTCTCTCTCCTTCCCACTCTGTCTGAACAAAAAATGGAGAAATGTCCTCGGGTGAGGATAAAAAAAAAACTTGCTAAGACAGTTGAGCTTGTGTTCTTCCCCCTCTCCTCCCAAAAAGGTAAATATGTGAGGTGATGGATATTTTAGCTAAGTCGATGGTGAAATCCTTTCATAATGCATACGTATAACAAATCATTGTGTTGTACACTTTAAATATATTACAATTCTATTTGTCACTGGTATCTCAATAAAGCTGAAAGATGAGAACAGTACATTTGTAGAGAAGTGACAAGACAAAGGAAAGGGCTTCAGGCTTAAGGGGAGACAAACTGTGGGAAGGTACATATGTGGCAGGAAATGAATGGAAGTTCAGGTCGGATTGGTGGGTCTGGCGTGAAGCTCCCTCTGCTGCCGCTTCAGGCCGGTAAGAGTCCAGGGTCTTCTCCAGAGTCAAGAGCCTGCCTCTCTTCCTGGTAGAGCAGAAGGAAGGCAGCTGTGCTCGTGTTTGCTTCTTAATTGCCTGCAGCTCAAAATAGTCCTTATGCCAAAGTGGCCTGTTTGGGATCGCCTCCTCTGAACCAGCCACAGGTACACGTGGTGACAAATAAGGCACCTCCTCTTCTCAGATGTCTCACTTACACTAGTCACGTTCTGTCGTTGCTTCATTTCATCTCTGATCTCATTTCATCGAGTTTCGTAGTTAAGATTGATAGGAGGAGGAGAGTCACAACCCCAAAGTGACATGGTGCCCATTCAAAATGTGCTCACCTGGCCTTTTAGGTTTTCTTTGGTTACTCGCTTATAAAGATAGACCCCCCACACACACCAAAAAAAAAATTTTTTTTTTGAAGATGAGCTTTTTATCCATACATTCAAACACTTGGGGATTTTCCCCTGAGACATATTCCCAGTAATAATTTAAATTAACTCCAGAATCCAAAATTAAGGCAAGTGGAAAATCAATATAGCAGTTCAAAAAATATCCATACTCAGTAATTCAACTCCTGGGTATAATTTCTCAGGAAACAATATAAAATATGGGCAAAGATGACGAAATTATACTCTGCAGCATTATATATAATGGTGAGCTCCTGAAAACTAACAAAGCATTGGAAGAGAGTGGTCTGGGAGAATAATTGTAGTGCTTCCATTCACTGGACCTATGCAGCCATTAGAAATTCCATTTACAAAGTATTTGTTAGTATGGCGATCTATTTATGATGGATGTTAAATGGAAAAAGCAAGTCACAAAACTACAATAACATCTTGACTATGGAAAACCATGTACATCACATTTATTGAGGGATCCATCTGGTTGAAGCACTCAGATCAGGTTAAGGAAAAAAAAGCAAGGCACAAGGAGTCTCCTGGGTCTTAGGTGCCAAGGAGAGCTCTCAGGAACCAGGACAGTACTCTCTCCTGCCCCCAGCACTGCATGCTCTCCAATTCTAGCTCCTTCGTTTCTCTCTCTGCCCACCGCCTCTTTCTACATGGAACCCAAACATGATCTCCCATGAAACACCCAGCAGAGGCTGGCTAGATTCTATGTGACACAATTCCAAAGTTCTGGCATATAGAACTGAATTGGCCCAGCTTGGATAGGCAGGTCCACTTCTTGTCCATCTGGATATGAGTAGGGGTCATTTTGTCCACCTGGCTGCGGGGGTTCATCTCAGTAGGTACATTATTGGGGCAGCATGAAGGGAAAAGGCAGTGGGCCAGGCAGACACCTGAAAGGCAGCTCGTCGTTCTCATCCCAGAAGGAAGGAAATACACCAAATGCTTACAGTGTTACACTGAATGACTGGATCGTGGTGGTCTTTATTTTACGTGTGCTCATTTATGTGTGGTAAGTTTTTCGCAATGTATATATTGAGAATCAGAGAAAAAGTGGATTTGGTCTTGTGTTTTAATATATAACACATATTGGGTCCTGTTTCTATTATGTGCCAGCTTGTTGGATGAGGGAGATGAGACGTTCATTGATGAATGGACATTCTCTGTCCTCAAATGGATCTGCCTCCTTGAGCTGGCTGCCCCTTCTTTGCCAAAGCTGGTGGGATTCTAAACGGTTACTGCAACCAGTGTGGTGAAGTTACACAACTCTGAACTCCAATAACAAGGGAAGTCCATGCTGGTGACTTAGTTATTGATTTTGTGCATTTATTGATTCTTGAATTGTTTCAAATAAATAGACTCCCCCTCCCCCCAAAAAAAAGACTTTAAAAAAAAGGAAAGAAAGAAAAATCATTCTTAATATTTCTTTAATACCCCTTCAGTTGACTAGACTGATGTGCAATAAATGTTAGTTTGCTGATTAAAATTCACTTTGAGTCACCAAAGAACTGACTGTTTTGTTGTTGTTGTTGTTTTTAATTTTTTTCTTTATTGATTTTAGAGAAAGAGGAAGGAAGAAAGAGAGAGAGAGAGAAACATCAATTGGCTGCCTCCTGCATGCCCCCCACTGGGGATTTAGCCCACAACCTGGGCATGCGCCCTGATCCGGAATCAAACTGGTGACCTCTTAGTGCTTGGGTCGACACTCAACCACTGAGCCACACTGGCTGGGCAAGAACTGACTTTTTCACAACTACTCTTCGTTTGCCTCCCAGGGATCGTTTTGCCGAATATTTTCATGGTTTCATGATTATAAGTATGACCATAAATGTCTATTTCAATTGAGAATTTGGAGAGTAAAATCATATTTAATGGTTTCTTCTTTTATATACATAGGGAATTCTATCCCTAAAATTGTGGCATAATTTAAAAGAGTTTTTGTGAATTTTACTCTGGCTAGGATTCTATTAGATTTTTACAGCTTTTCTAGTGGTTCCATTTGACTACAACCTTTGCTTCTCCTAGGAGAGGTGACATGATGTAGTGTGAAGCCAGAAAGACCAGAGTTTGAATCTCAACTCAACTGATAAGAACCACTAGCAAATTTGACCTCTAAGCCTCGGTTTGCTCATCTATAAAATGAGAATCATAACACCTGCCTCTCAATGAAGTTAAGATTAAGTATTTGCACAATACCTACCACATGTCAGATGGTCGGTAAACATTTGCTGAACAGATGAAATGGAAACCAAGTTAAAAAAAAAAAAAAAAAACTTAGGAAAACACCTACATAATTGTCCTGAAGGAGAGTAAGAATCCTTGATAATCAATAAATTCAATAAAATTTTAAAAAATAAAGAACCAGGACTTGCCAACTCCAAAAAAAAAAAAAATTTTGCAGAACTTTTTTTAGAGTCAAATTACGTGGGCAAAGTTCAGCTGCTCCTTCGGTTAAGAAGCAGGGGGCAGGGCTTAACCAGGAAGTGGCTCCTTCCCTAAGCTTTGCTTCCACCTGAGTCCCAGCACTCAAGAGGCTACACTAGGCGAAGTCTTAGACCACACGAACCTTCCCAAATGAGCAGCCAAGAAGACATGGTGAAAGTTTCCTCTTACATTTCGTGGAGAGAGATTCAGGTAGAGGAATAGCCTTCCTGCCACCTACCTGAAGCAGAAGAAACCACTCACAGCTTCAAGACCAGGTAACTGCCCTGGCCGCCGGCCGGTTTGGCTCAGCGGTTAGAGCATTGGCCTGCGGTCTGGAGAGACCAGGGTTCGGTTCCCGCTAAGAGCACGTACCTCTGTTGCAGTTTGTCCCCGGCCCTGGTTGGGTCGTGTGGGTGGAACCACTCGATGTGTCCCTTTCATGTCGATGTTTCTCCCTCTGTCTCTTTCTCTCTCTTTCTCTCTCTGTCTCTTTCTCTCTCTCCCTCCCACTCTATCTGAACAACAACAACAACAAAAAATGTCCTCAGGTGAGGATTTAAAAAAAAAAAGACCAGGTAACCCCAGGAGGCACTAGTCTTCATTCCAGCCTTCCCAGGAGGACACAGTTGGGTCTTCAATCCTGGTTTTACTAATGAGGCAATCTAACTAGGGGAGACACTTACTGGCTTTATTAAAAAGTTTTTATCATGTAAGTCTGAGCAAATAAAGTTAAAAAGAAAGAGAAAGAAGATCTTTAGGTTTCTCTTTCATTTCTCCTTTGCCACAGAAGGTTGGGGATAGTTCAGTTAAGATTCTCTAACGAGCTGATTCGTTTCTGGCAAACGCGGTTCTCTCTCACTGAGCAAGACAAGGTATGTGATGGCACGACAGCTGGTCAGCACCCATGGAGATGCTGCCTTGCTCCCAGAGCAGGGGTGGGGCTGAGGACGGGAATCCTGGGTTGGAGCCTAGAGTCCTGAGCATTTGTGGGAACTTGGGCACTAAAAGGTCTGAGCCGGCGGGAGGTCATATCCACAGCGCAAGGCCAGTGTAGAGCAAAATGGCTTTACTGCATGCGCCTGGGTAAGGCAGGCTGAGTCGTAAATTTCGAGCTCAGCATCGAAATTTCTTTGTTCTCTGGCTTTTATAGTTGCAAACTACAGAAACTAGAAAAACTACATTAAAAAAAAAAAACACATTCTCTTGGCACCACATAATTGGTGCCGGGGCTGATACAAGCTCTCTCAGAGGTGAGGAGGAATCTGCTTCAGCAGAGGCTGGGGCCATCACTAATCTCTTTCTTTTTTATGGTCCCTCCAAGTTTTCCAAGGCCGCCATTAACCCCTTATCTTCATGGTTCCTCTGAGTGTTAATCCTAGGGTTTTTTGAAAACTGCTCGGCTGTTTATATGCAGGAATAACTGGTCAGAATGGAGTTTAATTTTTTTTTTCCTTTTTTGTATCCTCACCCGAGGACATTTTCTTGCATTTATCTTCAGATAGAGTGGGAGGGAGAGAAGGGGAAGAGAAAGGGAGAAACATCGATGTGAGAGAGACACATGGACTGGTTGCCACCCACACAATCCCAACCAGGGCTGGGGACAAACTGCAACCGAGGTACGTGCCCTTATGAGGAACCGAACCCAGGACTCTCCGGTCCACAGGCCCACACTCTAACTTCTGAGCCAAATCTGCCAGGACTGGAGTTTAATTTTGTTGAAACATTATTAAACCTTTCAGGCACAAGGTCTAGTCCTGGCAGACCTCCTAGGGGACTTTCTTGAGTACCAGGCCCAGAAAACTTGGGAAATCCCTCTCCCTCCCCTCCAGAAAGCTCCTTCCTCTCTGGTACCCTGCCCGCCCTGTCCTACTATCAGAGCTCTGGTCCTTTGTTTGACTAATATGACCTAAGGCTCTGTCTCTCGGTTTAGCTTCTACTGTAGAAAGTTAAGGCATTTTACTGCATTTCTCATGTGCCCCTTAGAATTAACAAACATGTCTACTCAGACATGACAAAGGAGAAGGCATGAAGACACTCAGTCTGATTGGAGCAGGAAAAAAAAGGGAAGACTGTCTCTGAAGGCCTTTAGGGGCCACAGGGTGCTCAAGGGGAGGCTCAGGACACCCAGACCAAGTTGAGCTCATCATTTGGTCTGGGAACCTTCCTTAGGGGTGAGTGTCTGCACTGTGAGTGACCTCAGGCCTCTTCTGTGTGCAGAGCAATGGAAGTCAGCTCTCTTGCTGAGCCTGTCGCCCAGGGGGCCTGCACACCCCTTACACCTGGGGCAGGCATCAGAGTGAAGTGTGTATACATTCCGTCCAGCTTGCCTGTGCACTCACTGGGCCAGCCTGCTTCCTCACACACCTATTATGTCCCACAGCGAAGTGAAATCTCACCTTAACAAACAAATTCACAGCTATAAATATCCCCAAAGTGTGTCTGGCTATCACAGGGGTTTAGGTGCTTCCCCTGCAGCTTCAGGCTCCCCAGCTGTACCCCCCAGCAGTGCCTTTGAGGGACTTCTAAAAGGACAGGCCAGAGGAGACCCTGAGGACTTTGGTCTTTCAGGGTGTTGGAGGAAAAGAACTCTCTGGGGGGGAATAAAGGCCAACAGAAGAAAGTGTGTAACCTTGCTTTTGAGAGTAGGTTTGTGTTGTTTGCTATAGATAAGGAGAGAGTATGTAAGTATAGAGTGATAAGAGTTCAGTCGGTGCCCTGAGTCAGTCATTGAATTAGAATGAGCCTCACAGGTCTTATTAGGGAGCTAGTTCTTCCCTCCTCACTGAGTCAGACTCAGGGGTCCCACCCAGGGTTTCATTTCCAACATAAGCATAAAACTCATGGTGTAAGTTTTTACTTTCAACAGGTTTAGCTGAGAGCAGAAGCGATCCAACGTATGATAACCTAGCTCCCTGCTGCTTTAAATTAAGACTCAGCTGTGTATTTAACAGTAGCTCTCCCTTAATTCATAATGAGGATTAGTAAGGGGAAAAAAAACCTATGCTTGTCAAATGCATTTACAGTGTCTTAAGTAATACTTTTGTGTCTCACCCATTCTCTTTTAGCCAAGTGCTTTCCTGGTCTCAGCACCCACCCCCACCCCTGGGTAGAGTTGCCCGGTTCATTGGGAGGCCACTGCCTCAGCGCTGCTGTGCTTGCTGCTCCTCTCATCCTTGACTTTGCCTGTTGCTTGGGCCAAGTGTGCCCTTCCCTTCTAGCCTATAGCACAACAAGAATGTATTCCACAGCACAGAAGGACTGTGCGGTCCTCCTCGACCTCAGTGGTTTTCCCTCCTTTCTGACATTGCTCCTGAATCAACATTTAGCAAACTTGTTTCTTAAATAAGTTTGATAAGTTTGACCCTTCCTCCCTTCAACAATGCGTGCGCGCGCACACACACACACCCTTAAAGTCCTCCCACTACATTAGAAAGGTTTGGGGTGTTTTTTTCTTAACTTATATGGAGGTTTCTTCAGAAACATAGTATTATGGCTTAAGGAGAGGGCTCACCTTCTACCCTGTACATAGTACCTGTAAGATCCAAATGTACTTCCTGCCTACAGTGTCCTGAGCTGCCTAATTCAAAAGGAAGCTTCAAATTAAAAACCTCATCAATCCTCTCCTGACACATCCCAGCTCTGGGCTCTGGCGGGGCTCAGCCCCTTCCACACCAGGAAGCTGCCCAGGGTTCTGACCCCCCCCCCCCCGTCTCACCCCATCCTGTCAGGCTCATCTCCTGTGTGTCTCAGGTTGCTCAGTCTTGGCCCTTGGTCCACTTTCCCTACTCACACCTACCTTAGGTCAGGTCTCGACATTTCTAAGCAACATCTTTCACTCATAGGGCTGCCAGATTTGCACAAAAATACAAGATGCCCAGTTACATTTGTATTTCAGATAAACAACGAATACATTTTTAAAAATACAGATGGTCCCCAACTTAATGAGGATTTGACTTATGGTTTGTCGACTCCACAATGGTGTGAAGGCAGTACGCAGAATACATTACATGAGCTGGTCAAACACTTTATTACAAAATAGGCTTTGTGTTAGGAGATTTTGCCCACCTGCAGCCTAATGTAAGTGTTCTGAGCCACATATAAAGTAGGCTAAGCTATGATGTCCAGTAATTGGATGTATTAAATGCAGTTTTGATTAACGAAATTTTCAACTTACAATGGATTTATCTGGATTTGAACTCAGGACTGTTGGTCTGAGGAGCTTGAGCTGTTTTTTCAGTACCTCCACTGCCTGTGGAAGTTTAATCCAAGGAGAGCTGGTAGGTCCAGGCTTTCTGGCATGTGGGACAAAAAGGAAAATGTAGACCTTAACGTACAACGGAAGAAAGCAAAATAGACTATTAACAAAAAGAAATGCTTTCCCAGCAGGGAACCAGAAAAGGGATTATTTCATGAAAGCTTAAATTGAACAAAAGCAGTTTATTGTATCTACCTGGTTATTCACGTGAAAACAAAGACGAAACCCTTCCATCCCGGCCACTCTCTTTTCTTGTCTCAATGTTTCTAAAACACGTCTGTGATCACGTCACTGCCTCACCCAAAGCTGAAGAGCTCTCCGTTGCCTCCACCTGTGCTCTGAATGTTTGTAACAATAGCAGGACTTTTCAGGTGAACTCTTTCATGGAATACCAAATAGGGCAAGAAAGAGAAGCAAATCGATGCAAGCTAAAGTAGAGGGTAAAGAAAGAAGGGAGAGACGATGGGAAGGACCATGCGGCCAGACGTCCCTCTCCTGAGCTGCCTTTCCCTCTGCCCACCTGCCCTCTCCCACCAAGACCTTCAACCGCCCTCCACAGGGCTTCTTTTGAATTGTGCTGATGGACTGACACGAGCCAATGCGAAGCTGTCAGCCTAGCATGCGAAGGTCCCCATAGCCTGGCCCCAACTGCCACTTCATTTATTGTCCCTCCACATCCCTGAGCCCCAGCTAACCACAACACATGCTCATGCCATACAGTTCTCTCACCACTCTTCGAACGTCCTCAGTTCACCCAGTCCCTCCTCTGCCCATCCTGTTCTTAGCCCCACTATCCACCCGCCCACCTACACCCTTTCTGTCTTTCAAAGAGCCTTCGCTCATCCTCTGTTTGCTGCTGCCTGTCCCCCCCCCCCCCTTCTCACCTGCCTCTGCTCCAGTCCTAGCTCACCGTTTGGAGTGATCTATGCACATGTCTCTCTTTCTCATCTCTACAAGACTGAACTTTCAAAAAGAGCCCTGATTTTTCCGCCTCCCACCTCCCAGAACAAACAAGTGCTCAATAAATGTTCACTGAGTTTCATGCATGTGTCTCCTGACCGACAAGGAATAGGCAGGCAGCACACAGGTAGAGGACGCATGCGTACTTTGTTGTTGCAGGCCCGCCATGTGCACCACCAGTGCGTGCGACCTGGAGGAGATCCCCCTGGAGGATGATGACCCAAACAGCATAGAGTTCAAAATCCTGGAGTTCTATGCCAAACACCATGTCTTCAAGAACACGTCTTCTGTCTTCTCACCAAAGCTGCTGAGAACAAGAAGTTTGTCCCAGAGAGGACTGGGGAACTGGTCAGCAAACGAGTCATGGACACAGCTGTCATGGCCTTGCAGAAGTTCCCGATCTAGTGAGAAGCTCATAAACCTTGGCAAGAAAAAATCCTCTTGGAGAACACTCTTTGGAGTAGCAGAGAAGGATGAAGATTCGCAGAGCTCGTCTGCAGAGATCCAAGTGCAGGGGCAAAGGAGTGTGGAATGTCAGGGTGGTCTTCACCCTCAGCAATGGTCTAGGTCCCTTTCCAACGTGGAACAGCACCTAGAGGTCGAAGGTAGGCTTTTTTTTGGGGGGGGGGGGAGTGGGATTCTTTCTCCTGTAACCAAATCTTTCCCTTCTTTGTGTGTAGTTTGTCTCTTCCCAGCTGGTAATGTGGCCCTAGGCAAGGCATTCATTGTTCCTTAGTTTACCAAGTTACTAATATTTAATAATAATTGCTCTACTTTTCTCAAGGCTGAGCAGAGAGGAGGGGGATGGCAGTGAAAGGTGATGGGACTGTTCTCTGGCTGCACTGCGAATAAGCTTACTGCCCAGATCCTAAAGCTCTGAGGCCAGTGTAGGGGGAAGTGCTCTAGGGGAGGGGCCTAGGCTGCTCTTCCTGAGGTGACTCAACTCGCCTCTCTGGGCCTCTGTGCTCCTTTCGGTACATCGGGGCATCTCACCCTCCCTACCTCCTAAGAGAGATGGAAAGATCGGGTAGCTATAGACAAAAATACTTTTCAAAGTCTAAACCTCTCTAACTTCGAGGCATTTTGACAAAATCTCCCTTCAGCAGGACAAAATACATTGTATTGAATAAAACAATGTATTCAACAGAGAGTTGATCTTCATCCACACACCTTGGCATAAACCTCTTCTTCTCCTTCAATAATGTCTAGTGTCCAATGCCCAGATTTTAAGAGAACCCCCACTCCTGCTGGGCTGATGGGGCTCTGTAACTTATCTCTAATTAGTCAACAGGTGGCAGTAATGTCTCAGTTTTTAAATCTTGTGACTGTCCTGACTTGGAGAATCAGCTCATGCAGGGACAGCTTTGTATCGTTCACTGTGATCCAGGAAAATTCCATTTTCCACTAGACATAGAATTTTAGAACAGAAGTGAGGATCAGATTGTGTGGGGAGTCCCTCCCCCCCAGTGGTAGGCAAGCTCCTTCTGCACAGTGTGGTCACAGACCTCTGGAGCACAGAGTTGTCTGAAGGCATCTAAACAGACTGTTCTGCTTGGCCCGTTCTTTGGACTTTGCCAGGAGACAGAAGAATATTTTACAGACTTTAATTTTCTGGCTTTCCTGAGATGAATGACATTCTGTATTTCCATACTACTCAAGTGCCATTTGGCCTTTTAAAATTTCCTAAATGGTCAAGATTTCTATATACATACATAGATAGCCCTAAAAAGTAGAAATGGTTACCTCCTAAGTAGGCTTAGCTTTAAACATGTTTACACAGTTCTCCTCTCTTCTCACCTTTTCCCCCCTCTTGCTTTCTTGTTCAGTTCATTGTGTGGGTGGCTAGTTGGTTTTATGTTGGGTGTGACCCAAGAGAGCCTCGGATTCCATTTCTACTTTGCCATGTATAAAGCAGAGCTCAGCAGTTGGCATCTCCTAGGTTCTTTTAACTAAAGGTCACAGTTTAGCCTGGGCTGCCATTTCCAGGACTCAGACACCAGGCTGAACTGAGAACTATGAGGTGATGGCCCAAGACCGAAGTCTAGTAGTGAGAGGCCTTCTGCCGTAGGAAAATGGATGCCAAGGTCAATTTCAGAAACTCCCAACCCAGGTTCTTTCCCCTGGGAATTTTTCATTTCTCCACAGCTGAGAAACTCCACTACATGTGAAATGTTACAGTTAAGAATGGGCTCAGCAACATACGTATAGTGAAAAACTCAGATAACTATGGCTTAAATAATGTAGAGCCTATTTTTTATTATTATTCACTTTTACTTATTTACTTTTCATTAAGTTGACATCCTTGAGGAGTTCAGCATGACACAGACTCTGTGCCCAGGGGCCTCAGCGGGAAGCTTGTTTCAGAATTTGGTGCGAACCATGCCACTGTTCCCGTGAGCACGAGTTACCTTTCTTCCCCAGAGGACTCTGGCTTTTTTCGGTTTGCTACCAGGAGTCACTGTGGTGCTCTTTGCCTTGTAGACGTAGCACATCTCTTGCCCAGATAGAATTCCGTTTCATCTCAAGCAAAAAAATCTTCAATTTTTTTTATCCTCACCCAAGGACATTTTTCCATATTTTGTTTAGATAGAGTGGGAGGGAGGGAGGGAGGGAGGGAGGGAGAGAGAAAGAGAGAGAGAGAGAGAGAGAGAGAGAGAGAGAGAGAGAGAGAGAGAAACATCGACGTGAAAGGGACACATTGAGTGGCTGCCTCCAACATGACCCAACCAGGGCCGGGGACAAACTGCAACTGAGGTATGTGCCCTTAACGGGAACCAAACCCAGGTCTCTCTGGACTGCAGGCCGATGCTCTAACCACTGAGCCAAACCAGCCAGGGCTAAACATCTTCAATTTTAAGAAGAGCTGTGTGCTCTCTCCGGTTCCAGAGACCCCACTCATAGCTAGCAACAGTGGCCTTGGACAACAGCCTTCCAGGCACGGTTGTCATTGTGAAAGTCCTGTTCCCAGCAAGCCTCCTCAGGCTCCGAGATGGCCTACAGGTTATTTCTCTTTCCCATAAAAGAAGACCAACATTTGGCAGCCCGGACCTGACATGGTAGTTCCAAAGTCATTAAGGATTCTTATTCTGCCATCCCTCAGCTAGTGGCTTCCAACCTCAAAGTGACCTTCTATTCCAAGGTGGCTGCTGGGACTCCTGCCATCATGTCTGCATTTCAAGCAGGAATAAAGAGGAAGCAAAGGAAGAACAAAAGGGTGTCTTCTTTCTAAATAATTCAGCTCCCCTTCAGAGAGCTTTCTTGAAACTGCACCCAACTTCTTCTTACATCACATTGGCCATTCTTAACTGCAAGGGAGGCTGGGAAATATAGTTTTCCAGCTGCATCCACTGCTGTCTCTGACATTTCAGTAGTCTGTTACGGAAGAAGAAAATGGATACTAGGTGGAACTAGCATTCTCAACCATACGGAAATCTGTCCCAAACTTTCTGCCCCTTCTCTTTGAAACAAATGCCTCAGGCCAAAGGCTGAATGGCACTTCCCAACCCTGCTCTCCTTAGCGCCATAATGACCCCAAAAATAGACTCCAAAGAATGGGCAGCCTTGCCCTGGCTAGTAGGGCTCAGAGGTAAGAGCATGGCCCGCGGTCCAAGGAGTCCCAGGTTCGATTCCAGCCGAGGGCATGTGCTTCGGTTGTGGTTCGTCCCCGGCCCCAGTTGGGGTTGTGCAGGTGTCAGCCAGTCTATGTATGTCTCTCTCTCTCTGTCTTCCTCCTCTCTCCCTCCAGCTCTATCTGAAGATTAATGTAAAAGTATCCTCAGGTGAGAATTAAAAAAAGAATGGGCAGCTTTTCTGTTCTCTCCACCCCTATCCAATTTCCCCTTGCCTATCAGGTGGAACCTACTCTGACAGGAAGGCAATATTTTCTTTCTCAGTGTTTAAAATTAAAGTATTCAGAATGAACTAGAGCTATTTCATATGAGTCAAAATGTGTTTGCTTATGATTTTTCCCCCATAGGGATTGATACACTGTACTCAGGTAAGTCAAATTGGGTACTTCTTTTTTTTTCCCCCTTTATTAATTGGAGAGAGAGACATCGATGAGAGAAAACATCGATTGGCCACCTCCTGCATGCCCCCCACTGGGGATCTGGTCCACAACCTGGGCATGTGTCCTGACTTGGAATCGAACCAGCAACCTCTTGATGCATGGGTCAATGCTCAACCACTGAGCCACACCGGCCGGACAGATTGGGGGTCGTGTGATTGCCCTGCTACATGGCGGGGTGGTGGGGGTATGAGGAGGGCCAGGCTTTGGGACCTTTATATGCCTTCTTTGGGTGCAGGATAGGTACAGTGTGACTTCTCGTGGGAGAAGTCTGTGCTGATCATCCTAGACAGGATGCACAAGGTTGCAGGGTAGAAAACGTAAGCTTTTCTTTCCCGTGTCCTGTGGACCCTGGAATGGAAGGTTCCTGTTGGCTTTGGGTCCAGCCTCTTGCATTTCCTTGCCAAGGGCTACGGGTGGCCAGAGTTTAAGAGGAGGCTGGTTGGGCTGCAATAAGGTGATTTAAAAGTGGAAAGTATGTTTGGTTTGGTTGATAAAATGGGAAGGAAAGCATTGATCCTTCTGTCCTTGACCACTCTATTCTCCTTTCTCTAATCTTATTTTGAACCCTATGGATGGAGCATAAAGACTTTTAAGGAAGTCATCATGCCTTTTTTTTAAAAGAAGGCGAGGCCTGGGTCTCAGGCATGCGGCCAGAGCCCCAGTGTCCATGGTCTGGCAGCGACTCCCCAGGGAGGGAGGGAGGCCCAGCGCTCTCAGACTGCGGAGAGCTCCAGGGAGAGGTCAGATGTCCTCTTGGCAGCTCCCTGGGATGTCAGAACCTGCTTTTCATGTGACGCAATCTCTCCTGAGACCCAGGCCTCGCCTCTCACCTACCCTGATTTATAAAGGGATTTCCCGGGCACACCACCTTCCAGCCAAAACCCCACTCTGTTACTTCAAGCCTTCGAATTAAATAGTATTATCTTTCAAATATTACATGTTACAATTGTGTCAAAAGGCACCAAAGACAACGCCTTACAAGCTTCTCAAATTAAAAACTTAGTAATGCATCAACAATGAATATTTTATTCCCGAACAATTCAGCAGTACCTCCAGTCCATGCCACCAGCCCCGTTCTCCACCTGGGGCCAAACTGACTGGTCTTTCACAGGCTATGACATTCAGGGAGCCAATGTCTTTTAAACCTTCAGGTCTCAGAATGTTTTATTTGCTAGTTATGTGTGCAAATACATGACATGCTCTTTTCCTGGATTCTGAATTCTTGAAGGTCATGGGTTGCACTTTATGTTGTCCTTGCTTCCTGTCAGCATTAATTGGATGTTTCCCAGTAGACCTGGAGGAGAGAGAAGACACGTGACTTTATAAGCAGGGGGAGTTTTGTGTTTACTTGATAATGGACTTGAGTAATGAGTATGACCTCAGAGCAGGGATATTTATCTTTCTTCAGCGACCAATCCCCAAAGGCTTGTCACACTATTGAATGCCTTCCTCGGCGCATCAAGGCCAGTGCTCCAAAATATAAAGCATCTGCACAAAATAAATAAAAGTAGAGTGAGCATTTCCTCAAGCAAAAAAACTCCCTTCTGTGTTTCTTCCCTCGCAAAGGGGAAAAAGGGCCCTACTTTTGCAAGACTTCAAAAAGAGGGTGCAGAAGGACAGCCCCTCTGTGGACTCCTCCCCTATCCCAGCCTCAGCCCCTGCTTTCTGAGGAATGGCCTGCCCCACACACGCTCCCGGCTGGTCCCTCTCACTCTAAGCTACTCTTTTCATTTTGGGCAACTGTGCACACCAATGAGCTCAACCAAGTTCTCCTGTGAAGGGCCTCTCAGCACCATTTTGTCTTGTTTCAGCTGCGGACCCCAAAGTTGCTTCCATTGCCAACCGAGTTGCTGAAATTGTTTATTCCTGGCCACCTCCAGAAGAGCACACCCAAGGAGGAAGCATCAAGTTAAAAGGGAATCTTATACCACAGATTGCCTTCATCTTAGAGGACCAGGGCCCCAAGCCTAGAGCTGCAAGTGCTAAGAAAGGTAAACTCCCTGTGAGCGAGCATTTCCAGGCAGAGGGGTACAAGCGTTCCTGTCCTGACTCAGCTTGGCGCTCTGCAGTTGAGCAATCTTCGCTGACCTGGACCTAGGGCAGGACGGCGACATGCTGGAGGCACTGACCTTCAGCTTGAGAGACCAGCTCAGGCCTAGGGGGCTGTGCCAGCAGAGTGAAGCCACATGCCAAGCTCACTGCTAAGTCTCAAGCAAAGTCTAGTGAGGGAGAAGAGGAAGTACAAAGAGTGCAGTCAACTTTGTCCACAGGGGGATGCAGTGTTGGATTCCGTCGCGTTAGCAATGGCCAGGGACCAGTTTGCTCATGGGAGCACAGAGGGTATGGATCGAACGCCAGCCCAGGGATTTATAACATGGCCTTGGGCTCCTGTGGAAGAGCAGGGGGTTGTCAGACACCGGTCTGGGCAGAACATGAAGCAGCACTGAGAAGTAGTAACCAGAACTGCAGCAACAGCCAGGACTGTAGAGCCATCCCATCAGACTCGCAGGAACTCAGGGGCTGAGGGTGCAGGACCAAGTGCCACCGGAAAGGACATTCAGTCCTGCACTCCCTCACTGATGACACCCTCTCTCCTGGCTGTCATCCCCAAACTCCAGTAGGTACTGGGGCAGAAGTAGGTCCTGGGTCTGCAGCACAGTAAAGCACAAGGCAAAAGTGTCTCCCAAACACGGAAGCAGGGTGGTGAGTCTGTCCATCCTGTGTTGTACTATTGGCCCACCAACTCCCACAGGGACTCAGAGTGAGGAACTGGAGGAGAGGGCACCTCTTAACCTGCTAAGAAGGAAGTGTCTCCACTTTCTTGCTACCTTGCATGTGTCTGGGAGATGTAAAGCGATACCCCCAAACCAAGCTAGCATTAAGGCTCTCATCCTCTGCACGTGGGAAATCTGGGCTGTGGTCACAGCTTTCCCCGAGAGAGGGGGTAGCCGTCAGACAAAAACTACACATGGGCGCTGGAGACACGCGTTCCTTCTTCTCCCAGGTGACTTGGACTCAGACTTCCCACTTTCCTTGCCCTTCACTTGACCTTCTTTAACGTGACATGTTAGATTAATTTCTTGGCCTCTCTTTCCCTTATATCTGGAACAAACACGAGGACTCCATGACTTCAGAGATTGTGCCATAAGTGAAAAATGCCGTGCTCTCCGTACCTGGCTTTTCTCTGGATTCTGTGCTATCACAGTGACCATTTTCCTCATGTATCATTGTTAGCACGTGTGAGACGAGAAAAGTCCTATTTCTCCACCTCCCCCATTCCCACCCAACATACCAGACACCGACTGTAGCCGTCTCTCCATCCATCTGCCACGTCAGCCTTCGGGGTGGGAGAGCTTACTAATTTTATTTATTCACACCCCACCTTGTTATAAAGACATGGCATATGAAGTATACATTTTGGTCTGGTAAAATAAATTTCAAAAGCAATGTAAAAAGAAAACAACAGCAGGAAAATAAGGTGGGTTCAGAAATGAGTTTAATTCTCAAAATGCCAGCCCGGAAGACTCTCCACCTCTTAGATGGGGGCCATGAGGTTGGCTCAGCTTGTCCCTAGTCAGCAAAGGGGGGGCAAGATTTAATTTGCTAAGAATTACAAAGCGCTTGTCTTCCTCAACCCCTCACCAGGCTAAGCACTATTACCGGGAAAAGTTAAGATTTTTTTTTCTTGAAAATAATAACTGGGATTTTCCCGACAGATGGAGATGACCAAGTAATAGCCAAAATCGTTGAGCTGCTGAAATGCTCAGGGGATCAGATGGAAAGAGAGGTATGGAGCTTCTTCAACTAACACGGTTTCTTTCTGTGCCCACGCCCTGGGGCATGAGAACGGACTTGTACTCCAGGTTATATTCCTTTTCGAATTTCTGGTTTCCACTTAGTCCTAAATTTTATTTCCCTTGGAGTCAAAATTCTTCATGCTGGCAGCATCTCAAAAATGAATCACTTTGGAAAACATAAGTAAACCTTCTGGAGCCTCCTTGGAATTTTTGGAAACGAGAAAAGTAACTTTGTTATTGTAAGAAAAGACACCAATAAATTACAATTTGCTGAATAGAATTCTGACTCTAGCTCCCCGTGTAACTGATCCTTAGGGAAGTTGAGACTCTTGCTTTTGGCCTCGCAGCCTGGATATCTGTGTCCCACAGCTGCTCGGAGCTGGAGCCCCGTCTGCAGTCTCCCCCCAGGGCGGCTGGACTGTTCTCTGCTCAAGGTCTCTCTCAGCACTTCGGCTGGGGAGGCCAGTTAGTGTTACTTGGAACGTTGGGTTTCCTGCCGTTTCGAAGTGGAGTCCCGTCATTCCAATTAGAAACATGTGAGAGGCGCCTTCAATGCAGAGTTGGTGAGCAGGCCCCAAGTGCTCTCCGAAGGGCTTCTGAGTGCCCCCTCCTCCAGTCCGTCACCCACAGACCGCCCCGCAGTCTCTGGGGTCTGTCTGGGGGGGGGGGGCTGGCCTGGGGACCCATTTCCTTGTTTGGCCAGGATCCATGGGGAAGAAGTCAGGCTCGGGGGCCTTCTGCAGGAGGGGGAAGGGCACTGACAACCCTGTGCCCTGTTGTGCTCTCAGTCAGAGGTGTGCCAAGGATGGTGCCCAGGGTGCTGAAGGGCGTGAGAGATGGTGCAGAATGAGAAACAGTGAGAAAACCAGGGATTTGAGGCTGGTTTTCAAACGAGAAGGGGTGTGTGAACTTCGGGGCCACAAGTTGGGTGTGGACAGGGGTGCAGAGGAAGCAGAAAGTAGAACATAGTGCATGATTTAAGGACACCCCTGTGTTTCTCCAGAACTATTGATGGATAGGAGTTACAGGGAATTGATTTCTCCCCATTTTACGAATGACCTTTCCAGGGCTCGCGGCTGCCCTTGAGAGCCCAGCCTGCCTCGTGAAGGGATGATCTTCCTGTCACTAGAAGAATTTCAAGTAGACGCCAATAAGCAGGCACAGTTCAGTTCCCAGACTGGGAGGGATCTATTGCATGTCCTCGAGGGTTCTCCCCAGCTTCTGTGGCTCTCGGCAGCCCCTTCCGGTTACCTTTGCAGTGACTTGCAGTAGGTGAGGGAGGCCAGGGCCAGGAGGTGGGAGGAAGGCAACCCCTCCCACTATGAAGAGAGATGCATTTCCTTTCCACTCTCCAAATTACCACTTGAAAAAAACCTCACTTTGATACACTCTCTTGATGATTTGGGGTGATCCTTTGCATAATTTATGTAGCACAAGTAGTTGTTCTTTTTTCTTTTCTTTCTTTTTTTTTTTAATGTGGTTCCCCAGTAGAGAACTCTGGCAGAAACACACGAAAGGTCTGACTTGTGCTGTGTGGGTGTGAGTTCCCAGAGCGGGACAGTGACTACGGGGAGGGGCCGCCCTGGCTGCACAGTGTCTGCAAAGCCGCTCCTCCCCAGAGCACATGCAGCCTCATCTCAGGCCTCCCTGTCCTGCAGAACCAGCTGTACCCGAAAGGGGCAGGGGCCGGGCAGGGGAGGGGCAGAGTGCCCTGCGGAGGTGTTTCTCTCCAGCATTCGATCCTTTTGCTGTTCTGGCGGAGTCCAGGCTTCCAGCCCGCTGAGGTCTGAGTCTAGCTTCTTCAACTGGGTCACAGATTAGGAGGAGTCCATTCTTGGTGTGGGGGATGCTGGTCATTCCTGCTTCAGATTTATAATTCAGATGGGCCCCAGTGTCTCCTGGACGTTGGGGGTGGGCTGGGCTCAGATAAAGGACACTGCTCCACCAGAATCTTTCCATCGCATCTGACGCATCCCCAGAATATCCCTCTTATAAACAGTATTTGTCGAAACCTGCTCAGCTCATCATTCCTCAAGCACAGAACTAGAGGATGTTCAAATAAACATTTTGTCCCTGCTGAGACGTTTCTGTTTTCACACAACAACCACCATATTAATAGCCACTGCAAGGGCGGCTGCAGATCAGGGTGCTGTCTGCCTTTACGCACAAGCCCTGAGTTTTTCAAAAGAAGCAGAAGAAATACTGTTTTGTTTTTTTTTGTTAACCGTCTGCGGTCCAAAGCAGGTAGAGGAGGGGAGGTGAGAGAGAGTGAGTAGCACAGAAAGCATCCATGGACTAGGTTTGGGTTTTTTATTTTCAGTGAGCACATGGCCTTGGGGAGTCTTCCTGGTGCCCCTGTGTGCTCAGAGCACCCCGAAAACTCACGAACGTTCCGAGAGCACTTCTCCGTGTGGGGCACTCTGCTAAGCGTTCGACTCAGTTACCCTAGAGTAGACCTACTGCCAGTGTCCCGGTTCAGAGATGACAAAACTGAAGCCGAGAAGTTAAGTAATTTCCCCAAGATTGCACAGCTAGGAAGAGCTGGAGCAGGGGTTTGAGCCCAGACAGTGATTTCCAGGCTCTGGATTCTGTTTCTCACAAGACCTCTAGCAAAGCGCCCGGCCCTGTATTGTTTTTGTCACTAGACTGTGAGCCCGAGTGAGGGCTGGGGTCTCAAGCATTCACATTTTAAGCGCTCAAGGAACATTCCTTGAACATGGAAGGAATGCACTGCTCTGTCCCCTGAAATGCATTCACAGAGCAGGCACACGCCTGGTCCAGTTCGGCAGGACACTGCCGGGGTTGAGACTAGAGTCCAGGGTCTCCCAATGGGCGTGCTAGTGACCCACTGTTGAGCTAGGGAGTCTGTCTCATGGGTTCAAGCTGCTCTGCTGAATGCTTATCCTCTTGTACGCAGCTGAAGAAAGACAAGGCGTTGATGAACAGCTTCCAGGACGGGCTGTCCTACTCTGTTTTCAAGACCATCACCGACCAGTTCCTAAGGGGTGTAGATACCAGGGGAGAATCTGAGGTCAACGCTCGGGGTTTTAAAGCTGCTCTTGCAATAGACGTCACGGCCAAGCTCACTGCTATTGACAACCACCCCATGAACAAGGTGCTAGGCTTTGGAGCCAAGTACCTGAGAGAGAACTTTTCGCCTTGGATCCAGCAGCACGGTGGATGGGTGAGTGCATACTATTTAAAAAATGAACCTTGCCCTGGCCGGTTTTGCTCAGCGGTTAGAGCATCGGTCTGCGGACCAGAGAGTCCCGGGTTCATTTCCCACTAAGGGCATGTGTCTCGGTTGCAGTTTGTCCCCGGCCCTGGTTGGGGTCGTGTGGGTGGCAACCACTCGATGTATCCTTTTCACATCGATGTTTCTCTCTCTTTCTCTCTCTCTCTCTCTCTCTCTCTCTCTCTCTCTTCCTCTCTTTCCCTCCTACTCTATCTGAACAAAAAATGGAAAAAATGCCCTCGGGTGAGGATAAAAAAATAATAATAAAAATAAAAATGAACCTTCCCAGATCTCAGAGTAGATGGGATGAAAGGCCGGAGGGTTGTTTTTAAGTGAAGGGAACACATCCGTGATGCAGTTCTCATGGGTTTAGGACAGTTGAGTGGTGAGAGATACATCCCATTGATGGGAACATATTTTTAGTGATTATCTTCATCATCAATAAATATTTACTGAGCTCCCAAAGCGTGCATGGGGTATGTGTGTCGGGGGGAGGAACTGGTCAGATGGAACAGGAAATGAGGAGACGTTGAGAGATGAGATGTTTAGACGGACATAATTTCTGTGTCCGTGAAGGGTGCAGGCAGTGACGTCTGGCAGAGTCAGGAAGCTCCTCGTGCTCCCAGATGCTGAAAGGGTATATGGGGATAATCATGCAGAGACTCGGGTCATAATGACGTTTTTGTCATCGATCCTCTGACCCAGAATTTTGATACAAACTAAAAAGCAAACAAATTTGCATTTGTTTTCAATTACCTGATATCAAACAAAACAGATATCTTCACCCCTATGCCTCAGCTTCCACACTACCCCCCAACCCCCATCCTTTATCCCTATTCCCTGAGATTTCCTTCAAACTGTCATGCTGAAATGGCCTCCTAAGGTCAACCTGGTCAAAATGCTTTACCTGGAGCTTTAAATCTCAGAGGATAGCCCTTTGCCCTACGTTATCATTAGTCCCCTTTCCACTGAAGGGCTCCAGGCCAGCAGCAGGGTTCAGTGGCTGGGACGTGGCCAACATGACCCTGGGGCCTCCAACAGGCCTAGTCTCTTGGATCCAGAGAGAAAGTGTAGCTGATCTTGCCTAAGGGACTGACGTGCCGCCACGGTCTTCAGTGGATGCCGCTGAGCTACCCAGTCTTCAGTGTTTTCCTGTTTCCCACTTCTGCACTGGATTTGATAGCGCTTACGAGGCTGATCCGAACAACTAAGGCTCCTACGTATTCTCAATTCAAGCTGCCTTAACTCACGCTAGAGTCCTGGACATGTTTTAGCTTTAACTGTTCTTCCTTTCAGGACCCCCTCAAGTCCCTCTGGCCCCGAGCCTCTCTCCACCTCAGATCCTCACCAGCCCCTGACCTCCCCACACTTCGTGTTTGCACTGTCATGATAGACAGGAAATCACCATCATTATTGGTCCCGTTAACATATTTTTCTAGAGAAATTATAAGTATCGATTGGGCTCACAGGCCCGTTCTCAAAAATCTATTTAGTTAATTAATGTAGCTGAAATGCCAAAAGTGTTCTATAAACAATGGTGGTTCCGCGCCAAAAGCACAAGCGAGAAAAGGAAAATACATCGGACTACACCACAATGAGTAACGTTCCTGTTTCAAGGCACATCATCAAGAAAGTAAAAAGACAATCCATATCATGGGGGAAAATATTTGTAAGTCGTATACCTGATAAGGGCCTTGCATTCAGAATGTGTAATGACCTCTTAAAACTCAACAATAAAAAGACAAATAATCCAGTTTATAAAATGGGCAATGGATTTGAATAGACATTTCTCCAAAGAAGGTATACAAGTAGCCAATGAGCATACGCAAAGATGCTTGCTTGACATCTTCATTTCAGCATTAGGGAAATGCAGATCCAAGCCACAGTGAGACACCATTTCACACCCACTAGCGTGGCTAAAATAAAAAAGGACAAGTGTTGAAGAGGGCAGGAGAAATTTGAACCCTCATACCTTGCCGGTTAGATTCTAAAATGATCCAACCCCTTTGGCAAACAATTTGGCATTTTCTCAAAATGTGCAATACAGAGTTACCAATTCCACTCTGGTACATACCCAAGAAAATTGGAAACAAATGTTCACATAAAACTTATACATGAATGTTCACAGCAGCTTCATTACTCATAAGCTGAAAAGTAGAAAGAACCCACATGTTCACCAATAATGAATAATGACTAGAAAAACCCAATGTGGCATATTCGTACAATGGAATATTATTCAGCCACAAAAAGGAACGAAGTACCAACAGATGGGTAAACCTTGAAAACGTTATGTTAAGTGAAAGCAGTCAGACAAAAGGGCCATCTATTGTATGATTCCATTTATATGAAATGTGCCTAATAGGCAAATTCATAGACAGATTAGTGGCTTCCTGGGGTTTGTGGGGAGGGAATGGGAGTGACTGCTATGAATAGGAGTTTCTTTTTGTAGAGATGAAAATGTTCTAAAATCGAGATGTGACAGTTGCATAGCTCTAAATATACTAAAAGCCAATGGGTTATATACTTTAAACGGATTAGTTTTATGACTTTTAATAAATCTGTTATGAAAAATAGTGGTTCTAATTCTAATAAGCAAATAAAAAGAGAAAAAAATGCAAACATTTTTATTTACTTTTTAAATTTGGCTGCTTGGTGCTAAAGAGATAAAACTTCTAATTTAAAAAAATAGATGGATTTTTCAGGAGAAACAATAAAGGGATTGTCAAAGGCTTTAGAATTTCATGGCACCAGTTCTTTATCATTTGTAGTTTCCATTAAAAATTTATGAGTTTACTCTTCTAGGTCATCATAAATCATGGTTTCAAGGCTTGGCCATAATTAGGTTTAATCTGGAGCATGAAGCTGGGAATTAGGAGAGGGAGGAAAAAAGAATGAGAGAGAAAGGACTAATTTTTCCAAAGTGAGAGAGAAAAAGTTGCAAAATATAAGGATGCTGGTTTAAAAAAATATCTATGAGTTGGTAAGAGCTACAAAAGGAGGGAGATGTGGACTGAGACCTGTGCTCAGTTTCCCTGAGCAGGAAAGAAAGATGACACTCCGGCGGTGACACATTTTGGTGGCGCTCTGGGATGTCCCTGTAGTGGTGTGGAAGGAAGAAATGATTCTCAGCCTTTCAGAAGCTCAGGGTTTGTTCCTAACTGGCTCGTTTCATAATCTTCCAAACCAAACTGCAAATCTGTAAGGGCAGGATTGTGTATTGTATGCCTCTTTTTATCCCTCATGGCTTACATTACTTTTATATACATCATAGATGTTTAGCCAATACCTGTAGAAGAATGAATCAACCAATCAAATGAATGAATGAGAGAGAGATTGATTTGTTGCTTCATTTATTTATGCATTCATTGGTTGATTCTCGTATGTGCCCTGACAACGGGTGGGGATTGAACTCACAACCTTGGGATATCACAGGTGACGGTCTAACCAACTGAGCTACCCGCCCAGGGCACTATCACAAGATTTTAATTTATTCCTTAGTCCTTTTTCCTCACTCTTCACATAGTTACCCTGAGGTCCTGTAACCTCAGCCATTCTGAAAGGAGAGGTTTGTAAAAGGAAAAGAAAGTCATCAACCTTTCCAGTATCTATTCTTTTGAATGCTCAATGGCAGCATCAAAGCCCTTACCCTTCTAGCCTGTTCACCCTGGATGTGTAACCTAAGTCCTTAGCCGGTGTTTTCCTTTCAGGCATACCAAGGATGCCAGTCACCTTTGCAAACCCTCCCCCAACCCTAATATAGTCTCTGAGCCCTGGGTCATGCCTGGGATGAGAGAGCAGAGCTAACAGGCATATGTTTTCACTTCAACAGTGAATCAAACTTGGAATTTTAAGAATCTGCTTCTCTTTCCCCCCCTAGGAAAAAGTACTTGGGATAGCGCATGAAGAAGTAGACTGAAACATCAGAAGATGTGTAATCTGGAACACTCATTGGCCAACTGTGGTCCTGTGAACATCGGTCTCAGCGTAGACTCCAGGAGAAAATAAACGTGTACAAGGCAGATGGAACGTTGAATTTTCAAAAACCATTATTCCCACGAGTATCTGGGGAGGCCTCGTCCATGTCTAGTTCATAGATTGTAGTGGCATGGCCCTGCCATCCATGTTTTCGGGCCTTCCATGGAATGCATGAGGAAATCTAGAGAGACAAGTGGTACTTTTCCCCTCAAATGCTCAGAACCGAAACCATCGTCCTGCCTCTGGTGGCCACCTTAGTGAAAGTGTGTTACAGATATTTGCCGACCTCATGAAGGCAAAATGATAAACTGTGCATGTACCTACTCTTTGGTTTCCAGTACTATTTTTTAAACTGCACCTAATGACATTGTTTTGAGCCCACCTTTAGGAAGATTCTCTGTTCATGTTAGTAGACAGAGCTCAGAGAGACTCGGGTTTATTACTGCATCCACTGGTTTGGGAAAATACCACCATATCTGCCTTTTTGACTCACATCTCTGGGAGAATTCTTTGGCAGTTGGAAAACCTTTCATTTGGCAGAAAGCAATGACTCCTACTGCCCTCAACTCTCAATGACCCCGTCTCTGCCTCTCAAGGTCTTTGGGACTTTCTTTGTTATTTTTTTGTGGGAGTGTGATGATTAGTAGCTGGTAAAATAAATATGTGGAAAGACCACTGTCATAAGAGTATCTTGTGGTTAAAATAAGCAATAAGTAATAGTCCTAAAATTTCTGTCAGGATCAAATGAGTTAATTTACATAAACTGCTTAGAACAGGGCTCGGAACTCAGTGCCAAGTGTTCACTCATGTTCACTGCTATGTGCTGCCCGGAGCGAAGCTGAACATTTTCTCTCCTCTCAAAGCAGTCACTGATTGTTTTTCTGAAACCGATACTGTTCAGAATGAGATCTTCTAGTAAGTAAAATATGTTCCATATTAAGTAATGAAGACACACAACGATGTTTAAAAATATGTTCGGATGATAGGGTCTTACAAATTTCTGGATCTCTAGCACCCAACATGTAGCCTGACATAAAATATGTCTTTAATAGCCCAGCTAGTGTGGCTCAGTGGATTGAGCGTTGTCCTGTGGACTGAGAGGTCCCACTTCAATTCCAGGTGAGGGCACATGCCTGTGTTTCAGGCTCGATCCCCAGCAGGGGGCATACAGGAGGCAGCTGATCTATGTTTCTCTCTCTCTCTCTCTCTCTCTCTCTCACTTCCTCTCTCTAAAAAAATCAATAAAAACCTATATTTTTAAAAAATAGGTGTTTAATAAACCTTTGATGAACAAATAAATGAACAAGTCATTCAGACATACTTTCAATTTCAAGAGAAAATTAGACCTATCTGTTATCACGTGCCTCACTACCCAACCCATCTCAATTAAAATGAGTTATTTTTTTTTACTTTCTTCCCCACACGGAAAGTCATAAACGTTAGGGATAAAGGAGTCTCCTTTTACAGATGGAAATACTGGAGACCATCTCTTCTCCCACTTTGATCCAACATGTCAAGCTTTTTGCAGTTCCCCAAGTATATTATGCAATCTTGTTGTCCAGAGGCTTCATAACAATATTTTCTCCATTTGAGGTATTCTTTCCTGCTGTTCCACTAGTTCCACTAACTCACCTAACTCTAGCCCATCTTTCCAAATTCATGCCTCCATTTTCTCCAAGAACCATTTGTAACTCTCCCTTGGCCACCAAGGGGCTACATTTGGATGCCTTTTCTCATAAGGATGCTCCATAACACCCTGCATAACCTGCAAATCAGTAAGATTGGAGTATGGCCTAAGGTATGTGTAGTTTTAACGAGCTCTTCAAGTGTTCCAATATCATCTGCTTCCAGCGAAGATGAAGTAATAGTAACTAAATTTAATCTCCTGCTTAACACAACTGGAAAAAAAAATAGACAAAATATATGAAAGAATAGTTTTCAAGGCATTGTGTATCAGGTAATGAAGAAGTGGTCTCTGAGATATAAGAAACAAAGTGATCCCTATGCCTGCTCTAGAATACTGCAGGTAAAGAGTGTTCAGGCTGTTCTGGAGGGTGGGGAACCCATGCAGGGCTCAGCAGTCTTCCTGAATAGAGAAGATAGAGCCAGGAAGTCCAAGGCAGCTCAAGTTTGCAGGGCAAATAATGGAGAAAAGAGAATGGCACAGGAAGCTTTGGAGGTCTGCAGATTGGTCCCTCTGAGTTTTCAGATGAATACTGAACAACCCATGCATATGAAGATGGTACCCAAGGCTACAAAAAGGAACGCTGGAAATACTAAGGGAACACTCTCCAAAGCTCACACAGGGTTGGTAGTAGTACCTATTTCTACTATCCAGAATGGAAAATCTCAACATTTGCATGTCAATAGGCAAAATACTCAGAATAATTTTGTCTCAGTAATGGGAAAAAATTAGCCCTAGTCTAAACATACTTCTGGTTCTAACAAAGATGAAGAGCAAGAATCAAAAGGATTAAACTGTTATCAAGAAAATTAGCTATGTTCCAGAGCAAACCCAAGGATCACAAAAATATTCCATACTCAACAAGGAAACATTGCCAATGTCTGGCATCCAATTGAAAAATTTCAAGGAAAAAAAAAAATGAGACCAATAATGAGGAGAAAAATCAAGAAAAGCCACCTTGGAAATGATATAGTGATAGACTTATTAGACAAGGACATTAAAACTATTATAATTGTATTCCATATGCTCAGTAAGCCAAAGGAAAGACTGAAACTCTGAAGTCCACATAGAAATTATAAATATAATTTAAATCAAACTTGTAGAGAAAAAAGTCTAACTCTAAGATGAAAAATAAACTGGACTAGATTAACAGCAGACTACACATTGTAGGAAAACAGATAAGTAAACTTGAAGACATAGCAATAGATTTAAAATAAAATAGAGAAATAAGATGAGGGGGAAAAACAGAGCAATAGTGAACTGTGGGATGACTTCTATCAGCCAATATAAGTGTAACTGGAGTAAAAAATTTCCATATATGATGAAAACTGTAAGTCTACAGAACCAAGAAACTCAATGAATGCCAACCACAAAAAAACATGTAGAAAACTGCAGTAGGGCACATCATAAGTTGCTCAAAACCAGTGATTTAAAAAATCTTGAAAGTAGCCAGAGAAAAAGGCACATTATATACTTAAAAACAACAACAAACTGATAGCAAACTTGTTAAACAGGACAGAATAAAATGGAGTATCATCTTAAAATATCAAGAGAAAAAAGATCGTCAACACAGAATTCCATACCCAACAAAAAGATCTTTTAAAAAGAAAGGCGAAGTAAAGACTTTTTGAGATTTACAAAAGCCAAAAGAATTTCTCGCCAGCAGAACTGAACTGCAAAAAATGTTAAAGGAAGTCTTTTAGGCAGAAGGAATACTATACCAATTAAAAATCTGTATTTATAGAAAAGAGCACTGAAATGATATGTGACTAAATATAAAAAAAGCATCTTCTTATCTAAATCTCTTTAAAAGATAACAGACCATTTCAAAGAAAATAACACTATTGTGGGGTTTATAACATATGTAGAATAAAATGTATGACAATAATTATATAGAGGCTGGGAAGAGAGAATTGTAAGGTTTCATGCTACATGTGAAGTGTATAATTTCACTTGAAAGTAGACTGTGGTAAGCTAAAAATGTATACAATAAATCTAAAAACCACTGAAACATATACACACATACACACACACACAAGATACACAGCTAATAAACCAATAAAGATGATAAAATGGAATTATAAATAATATTCAATCCAAAAATAAAGTAAAAAAGCAACGACAACAAAAAACAAAGAGAGATGATAGAAAAAGAAAACAAAAAGGAAGTTGGTAGATTAAACCAACCATATCAATAGTCACAATAAAAAGAAAATAGTCTAAACATCACAATTGAAAAGCAGCAATTATTGGATTAGATTCTTTAAAAAAATTTAGACTTAGCTATATGCAACCTGTTAAAAAAAATAAAACACTTTAAATATAACAATATGTAAAAAGTAAAAAGGGGTGGGGAAATAGCATAACACGAATCAAAAGAAAGATGGAGTGGCTATATCAATATCAAAGTAGATTTCAGAGCAAAGAATATTAATATTAGTGTTAATTGATATTAATGTCTTTTAATAATAATAAAGCAGTCCATTCATCAAGAGGACATAAAAATTCTAATATTTACATCTTCTGGTGTGTGTGTGTGTGTGTGTGTGTGTGTGTTTTCCACACCACCAAGAATTCACCACCACCAGCGGTGTATCCTACAATTCAACTCAATTCTGACACTGTCTACCTGGGGATAGTGTCAGATCCCACAGGTTAAGAGTCCTGTGAGAATGGCACATGTATGTAGACATTTTCAGGTTGTTACCTGGGCTTCTATCCGACAGACTATAGATCAGAAGATCCCATGACTCCCTTCCTTGGCTTCCATTAATTTGCTAGAACAGCTCACAGAACTCAGATAAATATTATACTTACTAGATTACCAGGCTTTTATAAAAGGATATATAACTCTGGAATAGATGCATAGGGCAAGGTGTGAGGAACGGGGCATAGAGTTTCCATGATCTCTGCAAGTCTGCCACTCTCCCAACACTTCCATGAGTTCCCCAACCCGGAAGCTCTCCAAATCCCATTCTTTTGGGTTTTATGAAGGTTACATTACACAGGTGTAATTCATTAAATCATTGGCTGGACCTCCAGTCCCTCTCCCCTCTCCAGAGGTCAGAGGGTGGGACCCAAAGGTCCACCTCTCTAATCACACAGTTGGTTCCCCTGACAACCAGCTCCCACCTATAGATTACCTAGGGGCTTTTCAAAAGTAGCCTTATTAATAACAAGAGACACCTTTATTGCTTTGTCATTTAAGAAATTCCAAGGGTTTGCCCTGGCCGGTTTGGCTCAGCGGTTAGAGCGTCCGCCTGCGGTCCGGAGAGACCCGGGTTCGGTTCCCGCTAAGGGCACGTACCTCGGTTGCTGTTTGTCCCCGGCCCTGGTTGGTCGTGCGGGTGGCAGCCACTCGATGTGTCCCTTTCACATCGATGTTTCCCTCTCTCTTTCTTCCTCTCTCTCCCTCCCACTCTGTCTGTACAAAAAGTGGAAGAATGTCCTTGGGTGAGGATAAAAAAAAAAAAAAAAAGAAATTCCAAGTGTTTTAGGAGCTCTGTACTTGAACAGGGTCACAGACCAAATATATATATATTTTTACTATAAATCACAATTCACAATCTAATAACAGCTTCAAAATACACACAGCAAAAACCAATAGAATCACAAGGAGCAATAGACATATTTCCAATTATAGTTGGATTTTTAATACCTCTCCCTCAATAACTGGAGAGCAAGTACCCAGAAAAATCAGTAGGATACTGTGAACTTCAATGCCACCAATTCTCTTGACCCATAGAGCATTATACCCAACAGTGGAAAACACATTCTTTTCGGGTGCACATGGAACATTTACAAAAATAAACTACATTCTGAGCCATAAAACAAATCTCAATAAATTT